TTTCAAAGCTGGCCGCATTTTCGCCTGTAGATCAAAACCACACTGAGAATAAGTGACAGTGGCTGTGGGCCCATTCTACAGATGTATAAACAAGGAAAAATGTGAGCTGAAGTCACGAATGGCAGGGGCGTAAACAGAAACTTCTTCCGGAGGGGCACTACTTCGATTAAAATTAGGGTGGACGGGCAGAGATATGTGGACGAATCTTATTTTGTGCGCTATATGCCATGGAAAAAATTTTGGGTGGGGCACGGGCTTGATGCGCCACTCCTGGCTACGGAAACTCAAACAGAAACTCATGTGTTTAGGCACACATGGAAACAGACACCCGGGGAGGAGAGCGGGGGTTGGTGCAGACTGCAGTAGAAGTAACCTTGGCAAGAGAAGTAGGTTTAGCAGACTAGAACGGCACATGTATAATGTAAAAAAGAAGGTTTCGTTGAATGCAGTGGCCGAACATGCGCAGCAACTGGCCACAAAATCGACCGAAATAAAGGTAAATTAACAAAAATTATGGGAAAGAACTGGACTCCGAAGCTTTATCTTGACTCTCTGACAATTGATACAACGGCAACTTCCCCCAGATGTACGCATGTACGTCGTATTTTAAAATATACATAATCGTTTTGTACACACTCATTTTAGTTTTGTTTTCTTTTGTGTGTGTTTGTGTGTGTGAACAAGGCTCCCGTGCGGTACCTGAAACGTTCTGCTTTTATGTGAACAATTGTGGTCGATGCTTATTTTAACCCCATAGGCTTGAATTAACAACCACGACGACATGGAAAAAGAGAGGTGACAGTGGCACTGCCAGCGGCCGTGACAATGGCGTCGCATACGTAGCGCACTGTGGCACTTTTAGCTTTTATTGCAACTTTCCGGATTGTCTTGTCTGTAGAAGTCCACACACATGAAGTGAAAGCAAAACAACATTGTTCAAAAGTGAATACACCGCAAAGTCACAGTTAAAAACAACGCATCGACCAGCCAGCTTTCCTTCGCTAGAATGAGGCAAGATGACGTGATGCAACCCTGCAGGTAACCGCGATTGCAGTGCCCACTGCTCCAGTGGTGGGCCTCGTGCCGAATAACAGCTAGGGCTCAAAAAAGTTACCGTTTCACCATTCTCTTGGGGCCCCAAACAAAGAGAAAAAATATAAATTTACGGAGCAGAATCAATCATGTTTTCAACGTGACGTAGCATACACGCACGACAGAGTGTTTCGAAAGGGTGATTTCTGCGGCTATTCATGCGGCCAGATATAGGCACAACAAAGAAAAACCACAGTTAATTCAGTGAATAAATCGAGTGCAGAAACAACTGTTAGAGAAGTGATCGTGTGTGCACATTGCAAGACTAGATGCAAGGCATAAGAGATGAAAAACCACATACTCCACTGAATGAATCTGGTGCAATATCACCTGTGAAAAAGTGATCGCGTGTATACACTGCAAGGCCAGACGCAAGGCATACCAGATAAAAAACCACTGTTACTTTACTGAATAAATCTGGTGAAATACCACTCGAGAAAAATTATTGTGTGTGTGTACATCACAAGGCCAGATGTGAGGCACACCAGAAGAAAAATTATGGTTACTACAGAAAATTAATCTGGTGCAAAACCAAACTGTTAGAGAAGTGATTGTGTGTGTACATTGCAGGGCCAGATATAGGCACAACAGGGAAAAACCATGGTTACTTCAATGAATAAACCGAGTGCAGAACGAACTGTTGGTAAAGTGATGACGTGTGTACGTCATCAGGCCTTATGCAAGGCACTAGAGAGGAAGAACTACAAAAAAAAAACTGCTATACAGGGGTGGAAGCGCGCTTCAGTCTTTTGGAGCAGCTTTGGGAGCAGACATAATGCGGTTTCTTAATAGCTTTGGGGCAGAACGGGCAATGATTATGCGATAAGAGCATTTCTTCCAGGAGTGAATGTACTTATTCTCTCACACCAGCGTTTTGTAGTTGTGAGTGTCGTGATGTCTGATCCAAAAGAGTTACGTTGGCAGTCTTTGTATTGTTCGGGTCGTGAAGTTGAAGGCTGCAGCCGCTGTATTCATGAGTGAACTTTTTATTTGGGCTAACCTGTGCCCGAAAAACGAAACGACCCTCTACAAGCAATCACAGGTCGGCGAACTCACTTATGAGTGGACTCCCTACGACTCACTCAGACTCAGATCGACCCGCGAGTCTGAGTGAGGCCGGGTGACAAATATTATCATGAGTCTGAGTCCAAGCGAGTCCGGTTGAAGAAAATTTTCGTAAGTGCAAGTCTGAGCGAGTTCGGCTCAGGAAAATGTTGGTGAGTGTTGTTTCGAGTGAGAGCATAGCGCAATATGCATTTCATGAGCGAGTCTGAGGGAGTTCTACTTTATTTTGCTGAACTAAGGTCCTCTCTAGTCATCTTCAGCATTACTAGTATCAGCCTTATTTAGATTCATGTTTATACTCACGTCCGCTGACCGGTATTCCAAAGCCATGTCGTTCATGCGCAATTTCAACATTTGTTGATCAGAGGCGTTAAGTACGTAAAAGGGTGGCGGGGGCGTGTCCCGACTTCCCCCACCAACTCATCCAGGTAAAGTATTGATAAATATATCTTATGCTCCCAAAAAATGACCTTACTAGTTTGTAAGCACTCAGAACTCGTTTTTAAAGACAAAATGTCAAACGGCACCTAAAAGAGCACCGATTACTTGAGATATTGGTGTTAAGAAGCATTCACACCATGATTGAAAAAGTCGATTCTAGGCTAACGGACTCATGAGTCAACTCACTCGGACTCGCTCACACTAAGATCGAACTGCGAGTCTGGGTGAGTAGTGTTTTGTTGAGTTTCAGTCCGAGTGAGACTGGTGGAGGAAACGTTTCATGAGTGCGAGTCCAAGTGAGTCTGGCTCAAGAAACATTTCGTGATTCTGAGTCCGGGTGAGTCCTAAGCTCGAAATATACTTCATGAGTGAGTCTAAGTAAGCTCCACAGGTTTTGCCGACCTATGCAAACAATACACGCTGTAGACTAATAGCAACAAACATAGAGCGTCGGCCGTTGATAATCTGCCACGCAGCAAAGTGCGGCGGCATTTATACATGTGCCATCAAAAATTCCACCGTTATCGCTAGAAGCCGCGCAAGTTCTAGAACAAACTGTAATGTCGTCTCATCGAAAGGTTCTAAGATTATCTCGATAGTCCCCAGTCATTCGGACGCAGTTTGCCCAAGTCAGCGTTGCACGCGCAATGGTGCGGTAACAAAAAATAGAAAGAAAGGAGCGCGTGTGGCACCACCATTACAACATTGGAAATTGTTGCTATTGTAGTCAACACTACGCCGGTGACACTTTTTTTTTTTTTGAGTTTATATGACAAAAATACTCACCACACCGTTGCGGAGTAATCATCAAGCACAGCAGGCTCTCGACGGTTGCTCGGCAATGATGCGGCTAGTTTTTTGCAACAGCATTGCCGTCGTAATAGCTTGCCTAACAGTTTTTCTGTTGAACATGTATAGAGTCGCATAATGCAGTATGCACAGAAACGCCACCTTAACAAGAATCATGCATTGTGTTCACGTGGTGCAAGATTTATGCGTGACCCGAAATACGATTTTTAATATGGACGTGGACTTTTATATGGACGCGGTGATATTCTTTGAGTAGTCCACACGTGTTGCTAGGTCAATAATAAAACTGTGGACTAAATTTGGCGTTGTACGTGCAAATTGCCGTTCAGGCGCGACTTGGCGCAGCAGGTCAGATTGGCGCAGCATGGCGCAATTGGTTCAGCACTTCCACCCCCAACTATATGACCAAGAGGTCCTATTGTGTACCCCCCCTCCTCAAATCAACGAACTATTGGCTGACAAAATAAAGTTCCTTGAAAAATGACTTGTCATGTATTGGGCGCATGTGCGCACACCAATGGGGGAAAACCTGTAACACCCTCATAAGACAGTACCCGATAGAATACCACTACAGCCATGTAGCATGGCAAAACGAGGGGGGGGGGGGGGGGGCTGACAGCAGAACACAAAAGTAACTTTCAACTTGTTGATCTGATGGCACTTGTTAATATGAGAAACTTGTAGGTCTTCACAATTCATGGCATACTCTTGTTTTAAAACGACAAAGGCAGCACAAAATTGGAGATATAATCAAATTTTGCAGCCAGTATCGAAACTGACTACACCCCATGCTTTTTATGTCCAACCGGAACTACCTGCGACCACATGAAATATGAATGAAGGCACCGAGCATCAACGCAGGATTTAATTAGAAAGAGGAGCGAGTTTGCAATACGCAAGTATACCTTACTCTTTGCATGTGATATGTATTGCTTCTCTTTCTAAAAGTATAAATTGATGCACAATTATTTCACCCGCCATCCACAAGAAGTACCGCAGTGGCTACTCCCCCCCTTCTCTCGAGTTTCTATGCCATGCACAAAAAGAAATTACAGATATGGTGGTTTGCTTGTACAAAGCGTGAAACCGGTGAAAGCACAAAACATCCTATGCGAAGGTAAGGCAAGTGGGATGACTGGCCGCTTTTCATGTCAAGACACTGCCACAATGCACTTTCCTTCAAACTTGGTCACTTCCTTGACTTAATAGAGTGGTCGTCATTTTTCCAGCACACTAAATGCTTACAGTTTCAATATTAGCTTCAAAGTTTGACAATGAAAATTTAAAATTATGTGAGACATTCCGTCGTTTCTAAACCATTGACATGCCATAATTCTGTGGCTGTCTATGACTTTTATAGTAAGCAAGGGCCCCCTGAACAATGATGAATGAATGTTTTTGATAATCACTTCAATGTCACTTTATCTTCAGTGCCTAAGTTCTTGTGTGAAAATGAGAAGAGCCTGTCACAGAATTTTTCATCTGTGTTTTGTAAGAACTTGCATTCTCCTCCCCTCCAGTGTGCAGAGAACCCTAAAACCACTGTTAAAACAGACAAACTGAGCCATGGAAGCACTTGATAAAAAACATACCTTTATCTTTTCGGCCGCATTCTGCAGGTTCTCACGCAATTTCTCGGCCACTGAACTGCTGGACTCGCGCCGCGTTTCCAGCTGCAAAGAACCAAGTGTAAACAAATATAAACACCAGGGTTGATCTCCTTTCCTGACTTACTTCGTCCAGCTTCTTTTTCGTATCCTTCAGTTCATGGTCATAAATGGTGTACTCCAGTGACCTGCACAGAACAGTGATCAAGTTTTGACCATTTATACTACATTTTCATTTCATTCACACAAAGTTCAAAGAGCAAGCTCAATGCAGAAAAGTGCATTATACCCCATTTTCAATACCCAAAAGTTGCGCTGCTACTACAAGGGATCACTAAGGCAATAAAATGAAGGCATGCAGGAAAAGTTGTCTGGTGGTTTAATTGCATCCAGCGAGAATGCATCGAGCGTTATGTTCGGTTGAACCTTACGCTACAGGTTACTGCTTACTGCAAGTGAAGAGTAATCACCAACGTATCGCTTAAGAGCGAGAAATACTAAGTGGATCTTTAAGCTTACCTTTACAACAGGCATATCAAAGAAAGTTGCGCAGCGCGATTGAGAGACACCTATTTTTTTTTTTCGAAATATCAAACAAAACGCTTCACAGCCGAATCCTACTTTGCGTGAATGGGTCGTTTCTAGCACGCAGTGCCGATACCTGTTGTCCATTGGCCACAGTGACTACAGTACGGTACCCAGAGTGACTCCCAAACGAAAAAAAAAAATCGCTTTCATACGCGTTAATGGCAGTTCCATAACAAATAGGAGAGGGTATAGAGAGCATGCTAAACTTTCAACAATCAAGATACACGCTGCAGTGCTGATACTTCGGTTAGCAGTGGCATCATGAAAAAAGCTCTAGTTGTGTTTGTTGTGACCAAAAATAGTTTTGGGCTATAAACTGTCCGATGCCATGTATAAAGGCAGACTAGTGAACTTTGGCGCAGTTGGAAATCTGTGCTCGAATGTGCGCAGCAAGGCGCACGTACCGTCGAGCCCACATATAACGGCCCCACTTAAAACGAACTTTCGCTTAAAACGAACAATATCCGCGTGACCGTGAAAATATACATTGATTCAATGGCACAAAATCGCACTTACAACAAACGTCTCCGAGTGCCACTGATCGATTACAGCGAACGTAGTCAGTGGTCTGCCCACTTCCTCGAAAACCACTTTCGACCACTGATCAGGCATCGGCGAGGTGCCCATACATTCTTATTGTTAAACGCCGACCCTGCCTCCGCGACCCTCTAGTTGCCGCTCGCTCCTACCCATGGAGGAAGGAAAGCGGCCATCAGCTACAAAATTTAGGTCAAGTCAGTGCTGTGGTGACAGTGGACGACCAAACATTGCAACATGACTTTGTTGTTGTTCCCCAGTTACCTCACGAAAGATTACTGCTAGGCAATGACTTCTTGAGGGCTTCAAGAGCCGGCCGTCATCGACTGGGACTCGAAGAGCTTCGCAGTATTGGTCCCCCAAAGGCTACGCAAGGTCCACCTGGTTAGGGAGCAACCACTGCCAGCTTTATCGCGGAAGTTAGTTCCTGTGGCCTGGCATCGCGTGTCGAAAGATGAATATCATTTAATGGTCATCACCGGGACAAAGCTCTTGCACGACCGCTATTCAGTCATAGTGGAGCTATGGTAACAGCTGGATCGGAAAATGCAACGAAGGTTTTGATCACGAACTACTCTTCTCAAGCAGTCTTGCTTCCTTATCAGATGACAATTGGCCTCATTAAAGAAGCAAGCAGAATTGAGGATATTGAACTTTCTGAAGAGGACTGCCAACAGATCCTCCAAATTTCATGCCTTCCTTTCAAACCTAGATGCTTCAGAAATGCTCGACTGCCGAATGGCATTATCTATCGCGCCAATAGAGCAGCGTGGATGACTTCAATTCTTTTCGAAGAGTACGTTAGCGCTATCAATAACAAGATGGCCAAGAAAAACAGGAAGGTCTTGTTCATTGTTGACAATTTCCCAGGCACAGGAAAATAGACAACTTGGAGGCAGTTACAGTCGAGTTTCTGCCGGCGAACATGAAAGTGCTACAGCGGATGGACCAAGGTGTCATTGAAGTTGCCCGAAAAATCTACCGAAAGAGCCTGCTCCACAGAATTTTGTTGTCTTATGAAAACTGCAAAGGTTACGAAAATGCTGGGGGCAGTGCATCTTCTCAGCAGCGCTTGGCAGCAAGTTCGCGCAAAGGTTGTTGCCTACTGCTTCGTGCACGCGGGGTTTTCACGTGCCAACAGTTTGCCAGAAGCGGAGACAGACGACTTCACAGACTGTGAGGAACTTTGTCAGGAGGTCATCAAGCTTACTGGTAACGGTGCCGCCGAAAGTGACGTGACTTTTCTTGAGTATGAGCTGTGCGAGCAGGATGTGCGGGTGACTGGAGAAATGACGAACTCAGAAATCGTTCAAACAGCCACTAACGAAGAAGGCGGCAGAGACGACGCCAATAACGAACTACCCCGAAAGGTGCAGACATCTGCAGAAACAAGAAACTTGCTGCGTTTGCTTCAAAATTAGTAGGTGGAGTGCAGCGGCGGGGAAGATCGTCTGATGCGATGTGTGAAGAAGCTGGAGTGTGCCTTCCTAGGCCCAAGCACGACCGCAAAGCAGACGAGCATTTGGCAGTTTTTCTCCACTAAATAAAATGGCAGTGCTGTAAAATCCAGCTGGTTAACATCTCTTGAGTGATAATTTTTTTTTCTTATAAACTTTCACGAGAGGAAACATTAGAAACTCCTGCTGAAGAGCTGGTAAGTATTAGCGATTTTGCTGAAAAGCGCTCGATTTTTCCCAGTGATTTGCGCAGCTTGGCTTATCTCGAAGTTTTCTTTAGTTTTTACAACTTCGAGTTAACGAGGTATTACTGTATAAGTATAAGAAAAGTACAAGGTGAGTTTCAGAAACTTCCCTTGTCCTCTCACAAGGGTGCCTTATGAAAAACGTCCTTAAGTCGTCAAGTATAGGCCCTGGGTACGAAAGTAAGTAAATTTTTGCTAAAAAAATCATTACCTCGAGCAGCAATACATTAGCTTTACCGCAAGAAACAAATAACAGTTCACAAAAGCAGCCAAACGTAAACAGCAGAAATGTTTGTTAAAGTGCCGGCAGTTTTTGGTGAAAAACACTTTTTTCATCTGGCCACTTTTCTGCAACTCTGGTCGACGCAGTGAGGTGGTCAGGTCACTTTTGTTATTTCGACGTCTTCTGTGTTTTTGCTGTTTTTGGTGGTGCTATCATGCTCGCTTCAACGTTTGCTGTTTCCTTTCACTTTTTTGAAATTTCACTAGATTTATTTGAATGCTTCAGCAGTATTACAGCACTTTTTTTTAAGTTACATTCGTTGTAGAACGGTGCACAGAAGTGAACTTCAACTAAGTGGATACGTCCCGACAAATTTTGTCATTAAGTACCTACTACCAAGGTGGACATCGTGTGCCTTCAGTGAAAATGAAAAACGTGGACATAGCTCGCGATAGGATGCAACAGAGCACACAATGTGCATCCGTGTACAACTGACCAAACAACTAGACAAGTGTTTGTGCCATTTCGAGAAGTTTCACTGGTATGGGAAAAGTGTTTCTGCAACCATAACTGATATCTGCTGGAGTGTGTACTTGTGACACGGTCAGCTACGAGACATTGAAAAGGCCGTCTCTCCGAAGTTGAAACGTGGTAACTCCACAAAAGTGCGATGCGATGAACAGCTGCATGAGAAGAGACAATGAATCCACGATTGTAGATATTTTCCTGCAGAAACAGCACAGCGAGCGGATTCTTCTCGGCACTTTTTGTGAAGCGGGAGCAGCACGAAAATTTCTGCTTGTCGTAGGTCTGACCCAGGTCCCGTCGATCGTTGAGGACTCGCCGCGGCGGTGACGTGTATGCACACGCTGTGCCGTTCAATATTCTTCTTTGCGGTCCACATAAACAACGGAACACACTAAGTGTTCCCCTACCATGTTGTTTAAGAAAGCCTTAAGGGGAGATGCTACTCGAAGACACTTTTTTTTAATATTCACCCTATAGCAATGAAACTTGAGCTGGTCATGGAACTTTTTATCCTGATTTCAAATATATAATTAGTTTTCTTACAAGTTGCATACTTTTAGCTCTGCAACATGACAAAGCGAAAACCTTAACTCTTCTGCCCCCCTCTTTTCATCTCAGAACTTCAGTAATTTTTTTACCATTCATAGTTCATAATGTTTGAAATAAAGTGTGGAATGCAAATAACAAATTACGAAGCTTATACAAAATATGTAATAGGCACAAAAATTGAAATTTGACAACCAAAAAGAACAATCTTTTCTGTAGTGGCCACTGCCGCTAAAATACACCAGCACCATAAGTTTGTCCCTCTCGGCTTTTTCGAGCCGAATCCTCACAGACATTTCGCTCACAGACAGGGCCATGAAACGCTTGCCAAACTCCCGCTCGATCTGGCAGAGCAATGTGCCAATTGCAAGCTAGGAAGAAGTTCGACAGGACTGCGAAATCCAAGCCAAGTCCAGCATCATGCCATTTTGCGGCCACGTTTGTGCCACATACCCTCGTAAATAATAGCAATGTCGTCCCTGCTAAGTTTTTTCACTGTGAGCTCTTTTGACCTCACAAGATTGGCGCTGACGTCATCCATTGCCGCATCACGAACTTTCCGGCTGACGAATGTGAATGACTTTTGATGCATTGGCTTTTGCAAGCCATCAACTGCCGCAAATTGGACCAGCTGCTCATAGCCTATTCCTACAGAGCGCGCCGCACAACGGCTTTCACTTGCGAGCAATAGCTATTTTCATTGATAACGGAGATAATTACACAAGAAAAGCATTGTTCAGCTGCGCTGTTCGACAAGACATGAACCCTGCAAATAGGCTTCACAGAACATACAGGCGCACAGCGGCCAATGGCGGTCCCCCGATCCGCCATTGCGGATCGGGGGACCGCCTGTCGCGGCGCTCGAAAAATGTGCAGAAGCATTGCGGATCGGGGGACGGCCAGTCGCGGCGCTCGAAAAATGTGCAGAAGCGTGCTTCTTTTTATTGTTTCTTGCGCTGCATCAGTGAGAAAAACTGCTGTTATTTGAAGAGTAAGGCTCAACTCTTCGACTCATGCGATCAACAATGGCGAGCGGCGGCGCATTATCGCCAGCAAGGTGCTCGAAAACTGCACACTTTGGACCTTTTAACAGGCACCTTGTGCTCTTTAGATGCAATTTTAAAGCATTTCCAGTTGTGTCTCGACCTGTATTTTTTTTTCATAACAGTAGAGGTACAAATCTTATCAAAACAGGTAATTCAGGTAAAACAGGTATCAAACAGGTAATCCTTATCAAACAGGTAATATCAAATCGGTAATTTTGAAAAAAACTCCCGTTTTTCGACCCGCATCTCTCTTTAAAGGGCCCGTAAATCACCCAGAGGTCGAAATTCAGTTATGGTGGGGATATTGTGCACAAGTGTACGACACAGAGCCGTGAGAATTTATGAAAGCAGTGCAGTAATAGCAGAGTTAGGTGCGTTTCATTATCGAAACTGTGACGACCACATTTTTTGCTCTCTCATGCGCTTCTCTCTCCTAAACCACTTTGCCTTCTCGCTGAGCGCCCCTCCCAATCTCGCGTGGAACTTGTCATCACTGACGCGCTGCTTGAAACACAGTCTACTTCCAGTTGCCACAACTCCAGCCGTCAACTCCGCCAGTTACATGCTTGTTGGCAAACCGTGGCTGCCGTAATCGTGGCGGTATGACATGAGCACACACGCCTTCAAAAAAAAATGACAATGCAATGGGCCCATACGGGGACACGTCGTGTTACACGCACGCGAGCAACACAACAAATAACAAGCGGCACGGACAGCTGCTTGCAGACTGTCCGGAAGTCGTAGGCTCTTGCTCGACTAGTCGCAGCATATTTGGCATATTTGGCTCCGTGCGTCAGAGATGTGGCACGGGGCGTAATGCGAAGGCCCAAAAGGTTCGGAAAGGAGGAGGGATTATTTCTTAGAATTTGTGGCATGCCGGCGGCTCGCAGTGCTGCCACGTGCAGAATTGTTGATCGCGACACGATGCGCGCATTTACTCGAAATGCTAAAAAAATATTGGATGTCGTTTATGGGAACTTTAAGGTAGGTCATAGGCTACCTTAACCGAGCCTTACTTTAGTAGAAGGAAAGTTCCGCGATGAATACCAGGTAGGTTCATGAAACGCATTAAGAGCACTTATGGCTAAAGTTGGCTTAAGTTATAAGGAAAAGTTAAGTTAGGTTTGCGAATACGGGGGGTAAGACCAATATTCTTGTGTTTAGACCCAGCCGCACTTTGATTAACACTAATTGCAAAAAAAAACTAGCTTCATGGTGTTGCTTAGGAAAGTGAAACCTCGTCAACTATAGAAGCGATGCATTACTTCTGTCATGCAGGTCCTCATAGGAGGGCACTGCATTTTGAGTTTAGATAACAGTGCAACCATATCGAAGCTAATTTGGAATTAATCCAGGGAATAAATTGGTTGACAAAGGATTAAAGCACAAAAACCACACCAGCCAGTCCCATCCATGACCATCTTGCAAGGCAAGGAAGCACACAACTAAGAGGTAGCATTCCACAAGTCCACAATAACGCATTTTCATCATAAACTGTACATGCAAGAGTGTACACTTAGAAAACAATGCAAAGTGTCACCTCCGATCGGTAGGCACAAGGTGCTTGAATTTCGCTCAGACACCTTTGATAAGCTGATTGCCCCTCTAATTCAAGCCGAACTCAAACAAAGATTTGACACAAGAATTGCTTCTTTTGGTGCAAGTCATTTAACATTAATGGCAAAAGAGGACACAGCAGCTTTGAGGCATAAGAAATCATGCCTCGAGTTTCCTCCATTAATAGAATTGCTCTGTACGTACACTCAAATCATCCAACATGCTCTGCTCCATCTACAATGAAGATTGTGCCAGTGATTGCAATGGGGACATTAGATAGCGCTGCACATTTCGAATAAGACCTATTTTTTAGATAAAAGTCAGGTTGCTCCCTACAACACTTAATAAAGAAGGGCATGGCCAATTCCCACAACACTGCCAACACTAGGTTTTAGGTGTACAGCACTCAAAGAATGAAACATGACAAAACCTAACAAAACGCTATGTGCCATTACTCAAGGTAACAAAGTCATAGTGCTACAAGTCTGCCTACTGAAGGTGATCATGGTTCTGAAGTAAATGCAATACCCAATATGACGCTAACACAACAGAAGGTAAAGCCAGTGGAAACAAAATTTAGCTCTAAATCGACATGCTTCAATCTGTGTGAGCAGTGGCAGTAAAGGACGAAAGCCTGCAAAAAAAAAAAAAATGCTTTCACCTTTTACCTGGAAAACCCTCTTCACATAAAAGATGCAAGGAAGGCCATGGCAAATGCAGCACTTTATCTGCATTTGCAGCCTACACACATTTGTATCTATGAAAATAAAATGGCTGCAGGAGAGGCCGCACCAAAGATAAGCTTTGTAGATCTATCAGCCCAAACAAGCTAGATCTAGATGAGTGGAAATGAGCCATGCCTGCGCATCTTGTCCCACTTCTGGTACTCCTTCAACTCCTCTTTCTCCTCCTCAAGTGTCTGCAGGCGATCCTCAATGTACTTGAGCAGATCCTCGATCTTGGAGCGCTTGCCTTCAGTGTCCCGCAGCAGCACTTTACTTTCCTCACGCCGCTCATCGTACACCCGCGTGCCTGCCACCTCTCGCAACAGCTTCAGGCGTTGTGAATCGGGCGCTGTAGCCATCTGATTTATCTGCAAGTGCAGTCATACTTAGAGATGACAACCAACCATGTGACAATAAAACTTGCCTTGCCCTGTTTCACAATGTAGTAGGGATTGCTCCGTGAGAAACCGGCGCTCTCCAAAAGGTTCATGACATCCGTCCTCCTGCAGAGCAACGCAGTTGTCATTCCTCATCCGAAAGCATCATAAGAAGGAAATCACTCACGTAACCATCTTCTTGTTCAAGAAATACTGGTCTTTCTTGGAGCCAATAACACGCCTTAGGGACACCTCTTCCTTGTCAACCTAAAAGGCAACATGACCTGTCTTCAGTGTGCAGTGTAGAGGGTAACGATATCGTATTGAAAAGATTACAAGGCACTGTTGCAAAGCATTCCCATGCATCATTTTGTCACACTAAAATAAAACCGACAGAGTAACCCAATTTCCAGGCTTTGAACACAGTGCACAGTGTGAAGCAGCCAGTTGAGTTGCAAATTGCTTGGAATAGTATAAGGGTGAGAAACACAAGCCAAGAGGGCCATGCTTCATTTCTCCTTCTCTCAAGAGGCATCTGGATCACCACCAGTTGTGCAGCAGATAAGGGGCACGAATGGACCGACCCTAAAACACATCTATAACGAAACCTGGGTATGCAAGAGTGTTATGACCAAGAATCATGGGAAATGACAGTCCAGGGAGATGCAGAAAGTTCCAATGGTGCATGCAATTCTCCCAGATAACAACCAACCACACCGTACCACACAAGGTAGCGGTATCACTCACAAGATGGAAAGTGGCACTGCAGGCTCTAATGCAGACAGAATGTTAGCACTAATCAATGGGCCATAGTCTTTCTACCAATCTGCAAGACCACAACCCCCCTATCCAGCAGCACCACAAACTCATAACCAGTAATGGTAACATGAACAGTGCTGACACAGTGGGATTTTCCCGTATAGCATGTCATTGGAGGTAGCACTGCACCACCCATTCAAGCCTGTGAAGGAAACCTCAGCTCCCGGTGAGCGAGAAGGCTTGCGCATCGAGTGGCACCTATTGCTTCTTCAGGCAGTAGAGCCATGTTCATAACAGCTGACAATGACACTTTGGTCAAAACTGAAGGCCCCTGGCATGTGTTGTGTTCCCTAGCCGAAAGAGCACTGTGGTTAGATTTGACAATACATACACTACACTCAGGGCTGGGCGGTAAGTGGGCACCAAGGCCGTAGCCGGAAATTTCATCAGTGAGGGGGGGAGGAACTTCCTTGAAGGTCTCAAAAAACACGCATTTTCATTATCTATTCTCCATAAAAAAAATAACCCTTTCATCAGTTTTGAGAAGGCTAAGAGAAAGGGCCGCTAAAGCACCCCCCCCCCCTTACTGGCTATGCACCTTGTGGGTACCAGTCCTTCAATTACCGATGCCTTGTACAAAGTACCTAGCATTTTAAGGTACAAGATTCACCTTTGGCAAGTAACAGAGACTATTTAGCAATCTCCTGAGGTAGTTCAACTTCAATATAGAAGATGACACATTAATGTAAATTTTTTTTCTAGTGAGCAAATATACGACTTTTGCAGATGTTGTTACGCAGTATGCGAACCTATTAATCCAGCACGCATGGAGGTCCACATGAAAGATAACTGTTAAGGAATTCAATTTCATCTTTAAGCAAGTTAATTGATGGTTGGCTCACGCACGCACTACCACTGATCGATACGCCATGCCTGAATCATCTGATGCATTTCTTCGTTTCTACGCCGATGGAAAACTGTGCATTCATCGAATATTGCTGAGCACTTACACTTTCAACAATCTAAAGAAAGATCAGAAGGCATACCTCTGGTAAGTGATCTGTTATGATCCAATAATCTCAGATTAATGCAGCAGCTCGTCTGTCCCACATAGAAGCAATCAGCAGTTGAAAAGGAACTTGTACTACACTGCACTTGTACAGCAATCAATAAATTTGTTGGTGTGTCTTCAGAAACAAATATTGGTCGGCTTCTTATCATTTAATCAGTCATTCTTTCGTTGTACAATGCCACAAACCTTACCTAGCTTAATGGCAGCTGTAAGCACACAATTAACACCGTATCTACTTCCTAATTTTTCTAGCCTTAATGATATGCAATGAATGTACAGTACACATAAGACTGTCAATAAGCTAGGTAAAACTTGCACCATAGTGCCGACGAGAAAGAATGAGAGAATAAAAGACAAGAAGTGGACTGATACTTATTTCATAAAACCCCACCAAATTAACAGATTAACGTACAGCTGTGGTGTACAAAGTTTCAGCTGTGGCCGCTTCTACACAGGACAGCCAGGCCGCTGCTTTAACCGATTAATGGGACATAACAGATCCCAAACAGGAGCTTCACCTTGTAATCCTTCCTTACATTGTCAAAAGCGTAAGTTCATGCCAAAACTAAATGAATGCACAGTTTTGTACCAGCAAAATAATGAAGAAATGTGTCTGATAATTGAGGCATGGCATATCGATAATACAGTCGATGCCAAATATATTGGAACATGAAGGGGATCACAAAATAGTTCAATCTATCGATAATGCGAAATGCAAAATATGCCTATTTAAGGCCTAAATCAAAGCATTTCAGGCCTTGGAAATCGTTACAAGTGCTAACATAATGATTTGCTCACAGCATAATGAACAAGGTGTGAACTGCAAGTTACCGCACCTTAATTCGCATGAAAACAGTCCGTAAACTTGTCTTGCTTCTTGCATGCCGTCAAGTTCCATTGATTGATTTATTGTTTGATTTATTGATATGTGTGGTTTAACGTCCCAAATCCACCATATGACTATGATTATGAGAGACGCCTTAGTGGAAGGCTCCGAAAATTTCGACCACATGGGGTTCATTAACATGCACCCAAATCTGAGCACACGGGCCTACAGCATTTTCGCCTCCATTGAAAATGCAGCTGCCACAGCCTGGATTTGATCCCGGGACCTGCGGGTCAGCAGCCGAGTACCTAAGCCACTAGACCACCTCGGCGGGGCGCCGTCATGTTCTAGTCATCCTCATTATCATTGAAGCTTTTCAAATAAGCGAATTAAGCTCCTTAGGACACAACAGCCTTAAATAATGCAGAACGCCGATACAAGCTTTGTAGCGCGGCAAACGGTTGGTCAGCAGCGGCAGCGAAGGCGTTGCCGCGTTCATAACCGAATGGGTACACTTTCGCGGCAATGGCAGTCAAAAACAACTACGCCGTCATCTGCACTGATCTCACTGTCCAAGATGGTGCCTGGAAATGCTGATAAGCCGCAGAATTCACTGAGGTAACAAACGGAGTTGTCAGTGATTATGACGCACCCGAAGTCATCACCTGGCCCAAAGGAAAGCTTGCGAGAGCTTTACATAATGTCGCACTAAGCTCCAGTCATAATTTTGATAGCTACGTGCGGGTCTATGTTCTGCTCAACTACCAAAAGACGAACTAGTTAGTTTTGCTGCATACTGAAGCTTTAGCCCACACACACGAGGACACACACACAATAGAGACGCTGGTCCCCGTTTCTCTATTGTATTTGTCCTCGTGTATATGCGCTAAAGCTTCAGTATACCAAATGAAGATTGATCAGGAACGAGGTGAGAGGTACACATGTCCAGAAGGCGCGAACGACAACGCCGAGTTAGATCCGAGTTCCCACCGTTGACCTGTTGGCGATGTCACCTGTGGCTTTGTAGCTGGCAGCCGCTGCTTTTATGCGACTATCTAGAAAAAGCGTAGCCTCCGAGACATGCATTTTAACGCCGAAAACACCAAAAATACGTCACCAGGTTGCACATCTCAAAGACGCAGTGTACTAGAAGAGGGCAGTGGGCTCTCTCTCCAGCGGAGGCTATTTGGTGGTGCTTCCGCAAACATCACCAATTTTTGGTTCTCTCTTCTGCGGCGCAGCAGGGGTATAATACTCCTGTCACACGTGGCAACTTAACTGGACTTTGAGCGAGTCTACTTACGCTCATGAAGTGTCATTTTGACGGTTCGCTGCTACACGAGAAAGTGTACTTTGGAAATGATGGTAGTGGCAATTAACGGATTTTTAGAACAACGTATATTTGTTTTTTTGCACCTGCGTCTCATTGCCGGACCATGTTGTCTTCATGGAAGTAGCACCTGTGGCACACGCCATCCTGAATGACGAGAGAACAACTTGTCTACACAAGTGTGCATGTTGCCTGGAAGTAAACAACGCGACGAATGCAGCCATTGCACAGCATGTGCTGCCGCATCCCCCTAGTGGACATGGCCGCAAACTGCCCGACGGTGAGAGTAGCGAGACTCGGCCAAGGAAAGCACGTGCACAAATGAGGACTTACGAATGATGTGCTCAACAAAGTTAAAACTTTTTATGAAATGTTTACAATGAAAGACAAAAAATGTAAATGATTGCTTTAATGGTCGGATATGGTAGCGGGCTCCAAAAGAGGTCTGCGTAAGCTTGCCTACAGTAATTTTTGCCTTGCATGATGCTGCGGCACACTTCAATAATGGCAGTGTAAGCACCCTAGACATCCTGAGGCAAGCTAGCACAGAACCAGGGTACTACACGACGAACGTTTGCATCGCGAGAGATCACAAGCGCATGCAGAATGCCTAAGCCAAGTCAGCGGATGGGACGAAACAGGCCAAAAAGAAAAGAATACCAGCCACACGAAGAACAGGAGACCATAATGCCATTCAAGAAGGAAACCACCTATGAATCTGGTGCATTTTAAGGCTGTGTGCGAAGCTTCTGACACCTTGTGCCCACTCTGCAATCTTTGGTTACGTTTTCCTCAAAATAATAATTTGCTCCGAACCACGTGACGCCAACTTTCATAACTTTTTTTCTCAGTGCATGCTCTGAACTGAAATTTTGTGCATTTCACCACTTATATATCTGTGCAGTGAACTAGAGTAAAAGATATTGATCAATTAGTTTTTAAATCACAGCTGGTTTTGCAAACAAGTTTAGCCTACAGTGGCACTTTTTTCTCCATTTTTTTAGTTTTTTAACAGAACTTCTTTGATATTTGCTGTGTATTATTTATAAGAGTTCACTGCACAGCTCCAACCTATGGTTACAGAAATGCCAAAGCTTTACTGAATTCAGGCACCTGTTAGTCACTTATCAAGGCTGGTGTAACTACCACTTTTCATTAAATTTTTGACAAAGATGGCAACTGATATGTGTGGTTTAACGTCCCAAAACCACCAGATGATTATGAGAGACACCGTAGTGGAGGGCTCCGGAAATTTTGACTACCTGGGGTTCTTTAATGTGCACGTAAATCTGAGCATATAGGCCTACAACATTTCCGCCTCCATCGGAAATGCAAAGATGGCCTCCCCAAAAAATAATCAATATTTTGCACTCTAAATGACTAGGCAAAGTAAATGACACACGCTTGTTCCGACAAAGCAGTTATTTTAATCCAGACTCATTCGGCTAAAAAACATTTTTCGGGGTGGCCTACCACCTCAATGTTTTGTGTTTGCAGGAAGTGACCGTTGGTTGGCACAAGCAGTTTCATGAGCTCCGCTGACTGTGTGCTTGTCAGCTGCAATGTCTCCAACTCCCTCACCATTCGTGAACTCTGTTGTGATGCACAGATAATTGAAAAAGACTGAAGACGTGCCACACAGGGATAAAAAAGAACAATACGGCGCACGGCATCGGGCGAAAGGAGCAGTCGAAGAGGTTGACAGCGATCGGCATAATAATCAAAATGGAAGAGATCGAATGGGTAAGGAGGCGCCAGCTAGTGGGACTGCAGCTGATTAATTTAAGGGGTGCGTTTAATACGTGGGAGAAAAAGAAAACTCCAAATTTTAACAACTGAAGTTCGTGGCGCATTTATTATGAGAGTGCGTTCACTACGCGAGTAAATATTGTAAATGTATTGAAAATGTAAGAATGGTTCAATTTAATAATTACTAGATGAATTTCATAACTGACCAGAGAGCCTACTCATGTTGGGCGTCGATGGCTCCACGTGCAATCGACGTCCAACTCAGTCGAAAGAGCACATCGCGGCGATGACTGCACATTAGCTTGCTAAGAATCTTTGTAGGCAAATGCACTAGGTTGTTTAACAGCTAATACAAACTCAACCACCGCTTGCAAAGTGAGAAATGCTGCGGCTGAACAGCCTGAACTACTGAAGTTGTCGAACAGTTCACCCAGTGAGTACCATGCGATGTCATTTTATACCTCACAGAAAGATTGCGGCAGATGGAACCATGGCATGCCTTCACCGCCAATAAAAAACAGAGACCCATTATCGAGAATCAGTCAACACTCACTGATACTAGTAAATTCAAGCGTACCAGAGTATCACCCCAAGCCAGGAGGGCATGTTGCACACAGCCATGAACAAAGCAGTTAACAGTGACGGAAGAGAAGACGTACCGGCAGACGATTGTCACTGTTGTCAAATATGATTTCAACATAGGCATTAAGCACCCGTGGTCCTGTGCCTTCATGCAGAAGCGCTTGCCGCTGCTCTGGGCGCAGATGGGAGAACTCGTCGCTCAGCACAAATTGGATAGCTGCAAAAAATTAAAATCAGCTCTTGACACAACCAACTCTCCATCCGCTAGTCTTCTGAACATTAAACCAATCTGCCTGAGCCATAATGAAAGAACACAAGAAACGCCCACCAGAATGAAAAGACGGCTTCCATAAAGAGCCTTTTAACGTGAACAAGGCTTCCATATACAGGCTGAAACATCTTGATGCTTGATAACCTTTTCATTTTGGTTGGCATTCTTTGCATTTTTTTTTTTCTCTCTACAAAAAAATAAAAACAATGGTGCATACCCAGAAGCGCAAGTGGCATGGGATAAGCACAAATGCTCACCAGTAAATATACGGCTGGCACTATGGGCAATATGGCAACAGGGAGCATTAGGCAAGGTTTCATTGGATGAGAACAATGGAAAAGAAGCCGGCTCTCAGTAACTACCGAAACAGCAAGAACTAAATAAGGCAGGAGACGTTTTATGATAATTCAAGGGGAAGCGCTTTACTGTTCGAAACGAGATCGGGCTGCCTTGGAACATGCAGTCATAAAGCGAAATTCAATAAAGAAGAAAAGTTTACATGCTGTGGGGGAGCTAAGGAAACGATAGAACATGTTCTGATTGAATGCAGCGATATCCACCCAGGTATACGTGAGGGTACAAGCCTAGGCTTTGGGTTTCAGGGCCAAACATAAAAAGCTGAACACGTCCCCTATAGAAGCAAGTAAGAGACTGTTAGAGTACTGGTGGCAGAAAAGTAGAGATAAAGGACAGAAATTGTGGCAAAAGTAGGTCATTCTGCCTCAAGAGGCAGAGAGATGGAATACAAATTTATATTTTTTTCTTTGTTATAGTAAGATCGAGTTAATAGAAATAGATAAGCCATTAGGCCAACATAAGAAGGAATTCTTTTCCTTTTTTTTTGATAGCCTGGTGGCACACATGTCACCGCCCATCATAAAGGGAACGCTCATAGCATGCATCAGTCCAAATACACCCTCGCTACTGCAGATTAAGTTGGGCGTTGCTAGAATTTCGCGTGTGTCATTCCTTTCGGAGTGCTCAGTACCTCGCAAACACTATAATGGCGCAGTCGACATCGACAGAGCCAACCACTGTTCCTATGGGTCAGCGAAACACCACCTGATAACGCACTGCCACGCTGACCTGATAGGAAAGCTGCCCATATTTTCGCATCATCTGGGAACACCAACAGTACCGTAAACGCAGTGGCTTAAAGATTTTGAACCTTTCAGTTTGTCGGTTGTTTCAACATTTGTGTCGTGAACAAGGTAGTTTTTTAATGTCTGTGAACTCGATGCAAGGATCAGGCTTTGCATCACACACAGCTTCATTACTGCTATAGTCAAGAGTTGATGCATTCACAAAGCTGTACTTTATCGTGACAACTTTTTCCGGACCCCAAAGGTCAGACCCATAGGTCCTCAAACGCATTTCAGCCCCCGACATAGTAGCATCATGCTTACAACCTCTTGTCGCTGTTTCGAAAGTGCACACTATTGCAGACCACTGATATGGTGGCTGCTAATGCCCCAAGTGGGTGACGTCAAGTACAACCCTGCTACATGCCTGACCGTGAATGCTTGCATAACAAATATCAGTCGATGAACTGCCTGTCATGACATTTCACATGCAGCACGACATACATGAATACCATGTCGGGCCACTATGTGTCGGGCGACTTGAACGGCATGAATCACACGTCCACTACACTACTCCTCCTAAAATACCTAAAAAATGACATGATGCGCATAATACGACATGTACTACAATGGTGTAGAACCAAGACTAGTAAGCCATATTATGGATAGTGTTGTGCAAATACACTGGAACATGGATGCACACAACAAATATACGATAATGGTATGCAATGAAATATACCATACTAACAATAAACATGGGCTGGCGTAGTTTCATGTTGGTTGATATAGGTGAGCAATGATTACGAGCAACAAACAGTGCGCTATGGTTGACGTTTACAGCAGCGCAAAAAGCAGACACGGCGCTGCTTTTTGTGCTGCTCAGCGTGGCCAGTGCTACCTCCCACGGTCAGCCGTACTTTTGTCGGCACCCGGGAGGGCGGCCACTTAAGAGTTGCAGAAATTCGCGTGTTTAACAACTTCAGTTATTGTTCGGTGTCACTAACGTGCGCTAACATCTAAACACTTCTTGGGCAGGTCGCGTAAAAACAAACGAAACAGTCGACAGCAACAACGATCCTTACAAATGTCATCACAAAACTTACCGTAAAAGAAATTGCTTTTTCCCGATCCATTGCGACCAACTGGAAAGTAAGATAGGGTTGTGAGTGTTACAATAGATGTTTACAAACTAGATATACGTACGTACCTATCACGTTATGGCGTGGACTGAAGGGCTCCACGCAAGTTTGCTCTTTGTAGCTCCGAAAACCTTGTATTATCAGCTGAAAAATTAAGGAAATGCACACACACCGTCCAAGACGTAGTTTTGGAAGACGAATACTTTCGGCGAATCGTATTTAAGGATGCTTTTCCAGAAGGCGACACCGTCACCCGGCAGCTGCAGCTTATTCGAATTTAGGCTTACTCTGAAGTTACTCATAAGGTGGACACTGATGGACACATGCCAAATAGCCAAGGCAGCAAGACGTACACTGACCTGTTTTATATGCATTTCGGATGAGCACAGCCAGAGAATCGACGCAAATCCATGTAAATGTGCCACTTTGGGCTTGTTCTGTTCCGCCAAGTGCCAGGCAGTTCAAAATGGCGGGAAACAGTTGTATACATTGAGAGCAAGGAGGTTGTATAGAACCTCTAGAGTGGCAGTCCCGGCCGCCGCCAAGGGGAGCAACTGAAGCCGCCGGCGCCCATATTGCTAGAGGAAAAACAGGGCGGAACCGACATGGCATACACGCGTTGGTTTGCAGTTGCACGATAAAAAAAAAAATGAGATTGAAACCACTTTTAGGTTACACCAACGAATAAATGCCTCTTCTTGTTTATAAAACAAATTATTTTATGCACTAATTGTCAGCTACACGCTTTCAGATCAATCTGTTGTCAAGAGATGTGTCGCATATCGAGCCCCGCAGTGGTGGTCTAGTGGCTAAGGTATTCAGCTGCTGACCCGCAGGTCACGCGTTCGTATCCCGACTGCGGCGGCTGCATTTCCAATGGAGGCGGAAATGTTGTAGGCCCGTGTGCTCAGATTTGGGTGCACGTTAAAGAACCCAGAAGAATGGCGATTTGGGCTAGTTGGTTTGAATTCATGATAATAAGGGTTGCACCGCGAGCACGAATGTGCTAGAAGAAACGGGTACGGAAGGTACCTGTTTCTTCGAGCACATTCGTGCTCGCGCTGCCACCCTTATTATCATAAAGAACCCAGGTGGACGAAATTTCCGGAGCCCTCCACTACGGCGCCTCTCATAATCATATGGAGGCTTTGGGACGTTAAACCCGACATATAAATCAATAAATTTTATCGAGTTTGCTGGCACAGTATTGTGCCTGTAGATACTCAAGATCCGTTGGCGGCGTGTGTTGTCATGGCAAGCGCAGCCTTCAGAACTTAGAAACGAGGTAGCTCGATGTTTGATATAACGCCACTCACTCATTTTGGCAACTTCGTTTCACCGTTTTGGTTTCGTCGCTAAGATAGAACAGATGTCAGAGATGTCTCATCTTGTTTTAGACGCAATTGCTTATTTTCGTGACTACATTCTATGTCAAGGAGGTAGAAACTAACAGGTTTTTGTAGATGTGCTCGGAAAGCATGAAAAATCAAAGGTGCACTACCAGGCCACGGTCTGGTTGTCTGTCCCGTTTTGTCGAAGCAGCGTTCTTCGAAGTGAATGGAACAGAGGTGGTCACCCTCCGTAGCCCTCCAACTATTTCTTCGAACAGCATGTTCCCAGGCAGAACGCAGTGCACTGTCTTTCGGAAACGTGTAACACAAATAATCACGGCATGAAATATTCTCTACGTTTGCGAATTCGTCGGTAAACATGCATCAAATTTGATATTCACTCGATAAAAAAATATGCATGCATGCCGTCAGTCTTGCCTTGTAAGACAACACCAGAAAACTTGGAATTCAAAGGGCATTCAGACGTCCTACTCGTTCCAATGTTTGATACGTGCAGCCATGCACCGCAAGTGCTTCGTCCATAAGCTTAAAACTCATGAACAACGTTGTGTCAGCGAGCATTTAAAGCTTCAATTTACATTCCGTACAGCTATGCGCACGTATTACACGCATGCGCACTTTTCATGTTGTTTCCAATTTAATAGCATACGCGAAAAAAACAGGCGATCGTAAGCGAAAGAAGCGAGAACTGACACGTGAAAAGTGATCCCAGGCGTCTCCTTGATGTGATTTGTGCAGCCATAAGCGACGCACGAAGTCACCATGGCCTTGTAAAATATTTAACTGCTTTACAAAAGCATGTCACAGTCTCCAAAGGCTACTGCGTGGGCGGAGCTACGAAGCGTACTTTGTCGTCTGCTTCCGAGTATTTCCTTTTCAAATATGGCGGTGACCGGTGTCACTTATTGGGGCGCGCCTTCACTCCAGACCACATAGAATGATAGAACCTCCTTGAGCGAGAGTGACCCTCTGGTGCCGACCACGAATAAAAGAGAAGTCAACAAAAACCGGTACTGCCCAAACTTGCACCAAAGTTGACCATCTTGGAATACCGGCACAAATTTAAAAGACTATAATTTCGCAAAGGGCAAATATTCAATTCAGGTTGAAATTACGACATGTTTGTCATTTTTTTTCTTCATAGGCTGCTATCATCATCGAGTCAATCATCGAGGGGAAAAAAAAAGGCTCCAATCGCGTCCAGTGGATTGTTAGTTTTTGTCTAAACATGGCCTCAGGTCAGTAGTGGTCGTGGTGCGTGATCTGCGTGTCAAAACTGGAAGCTTTCCTAAGTATGTGGATAACAGGAAAGACAGATCAGACTTCCCAGCGAGACGCAATATTCAACGACCTCTACACAGAATGTAGGCACGCCCCACCAGGTGCCCGTCTCTCGTACCTTGTTCGCAATAAGATCGAGCGGCTGACGCGAGAGGAACGCAAAGACATCGTATCGCGTCTTCGAGAAGGATGCGCACCTTTGTTCGTCGCGTGCAAGAAGGGGAACTCGGACATTGTAGAGTACCTGATCACCATGTGTGGCGCCGACCTGGAACAACGAGGCGTCTACGAGGTAACCGATGACCGTTCGATCCACTTTGTCACCCCGCTGTGGTGTGCGGCAGTGGCAGGCAAGCTGGCTGTCGTCAAACAGCTGATCGACTATGGCGCCAACGTGAACAGTGTGTCGGACACGGGCTCGACGCCAGTGCGCTCCGCATGCTTCATGTCGCACCGCGAAGTGGTCATGTACCTCGTCAACCACGGTGCGGACATCTTGAAACCAAACTACAACGGGGGCACCTGTCTCATCAATTCTGTGCAGAGCGTGGGCCTGTGCCGTTTCCTGCTGCGCCGTGGCGCGGACGTCAACGCTCAGGACGTGCAGCTGAAGACAGCGCTGCACTACGCCATCCAGGAGCATCGGTTCGACACTACGCGACTTCTGTTGGAGCACCACGCCAACCCGTTCCTGCGAAGTCGCTACGGCGATGACGCGCTCCAGACGGCCTGCCTTAAGGGGGCCGCTCAGATCTACGAGTATCTGGTCAGCAATGTCGAGTACAGCGCCGCGCGGCGTGCCGAGGCCGACGAGCTGTTGGGCACCACGTTTCTGGACGAGCACCACGACGTTCAGTCTGCGCTCTTCTACTGGCGACGAGCGCAGGCGCTGCGTGCGAGAGAGAGCGTGCCCAAGCCCCTGGGCGCGCTGCTGCCGCGGCGGCCGGCCTTCCAGATGGCTGTGGAGTATGCGAACGCCGAGCAGCTGGACGCGCTAGCGCACGACCTGGACGCGCTGCGCATTCAGTCGCTGCTCATGTGTGAGCGCATCCTGGGCGCGCAGCACAAGGACACCGTGTTCCGGATCATGTACCGCGGCGCCGCGTACGCCGACAGCATGCAGTACCAGCGCTGCATCGATCTGTGGCAGTACGCGCTCGAGCTGCGCGTCGTCAAGGACACGCTGCTGCACACCGAGGCGGGCCAGGCGGCCGCGGCCCTGGTGCGTCTCTACCTTGACATGCTGGACAAGGGCCGTGCGGGGCTGCTGCGCGACCGTCTGCGGCTCGAGGACGTGCTGGCCACGGCGCGCCTGCTGGTCGACCGGTGCGGTGAATCCGCGCGGCTGCTCGCTGAGCGGCCCGTCTACCGGCGGCACCTGGACAACTTCGACAAGCTCTTGCGCGTGCTCACGCACCTGCTGCACGTGCTCAACGCGCTGCCCAAGCGCGACGCCGTGGAAGAGGCGGCCGTGCGGCGCCTCGTGTGCTGTGCCCTGGCGCAGCAGCCGCGCACCGCGTCCGGCGACTCCCTGCTGCACCTTGTGGTGAGTCGTGCAAACACCATGAAGCCGACGGCATTCTTCGAGGAGGCGCACCCGCACGTCTTTCCCGACGCATCGCTGACCGCTCTGCTGCTCGACTGCGGCGCCGACGTGGAGGCGGTCAACGAGGCCCGCAGCACAGCACTACACGTGGCCGCGCTGCGCAACAACTTCGTGCCCGACGTGGTGCAGACGCTGCTGCGCTATGGCGCCCACCTGGACCGGCGCAACGCCAACGGCAACCAGCCGCACCGCATGCTGGCCGGCATCAGCGAGTGCGTGCTCAACCCTCTCCAGCACATCAGCCTTCAGTGCCTTGCTGCTCGCAAGATCGTCGAGCGCCGGATCCACTTTGCCGGCGAGGTGCCGGGTGCACTTGAGAACTTCATCCGCATCCACTGATGCCAGATGAGCGAAGTTTGCTTGCCTCCACATCTATGCAAGATGCAATAACAGCATATGCAAGTACACCTTTTTTTTAACCAACCCGCAGGAAAGGTATAATCTTTTCTCCCATCCTAGGGACCATGTGCTGGCACAGTGTTCTAATGCATCGAGGCTGTGGATCTGAAATGATTGCCTTGCTTAAACAGCTCCATTCTGGTGATAGACATGGTAAAACATGCATAGTTTTTGTGTATGCCTAAACCAAGTGCCAAAGTGATGAAAGGGGTGACTTGGCTGCATATGTGACCTTCTGATCCATGCCCGAGTATGAAATGCTGCATTCTGCTGCCACCATCTCGTTAGCCATGGCATCTCGGCTGACCTGGACTTGCTCTGCAAAACTGGCTGTGGGGGGTGAGATCATTTTGCAAGCTGTCAGTTCGAGATTCTGCAGTGCTGCTGTTCTGGACTTGTGAACCTGTCCAGGAAAGTGGCCTTTTTATGGGTGAACCTTTCAATAAAGCATCATTGCTGAATGAGGTATATTTTTATATAAGTGCATAGAAACACAATCGCAAAACTTGGACAGAGCACCATTAACAATAATTGTTAGTGGTGCTCTGTTCCACGTCCCCTCTTGTGATTGTTTTTCTGCACCTTAAAATCAATTATGAACGTACAACAACTCGCCCAGCATGAGGTTCTCTCAAGATGGGTGGATGCATGGGCTTGTTAGAAGTGAGTCATTTCAGAAGTGTTGGTGTTGCATGACAGAAGACATGGATTCCAGAGAGAAACTTGCAACAGACAGTGCTATGGTTGAAACGTTTATTTTCATTTTCTCAGTAAGATTGCTGCCTTTTCTCAAACAAAAAAACCGGCCCTTAAAGAGCGGAGGCATGAGCTACAGGGAGCTTATTAATTAGTGTTGATCAATAGACATCATGTCAGGTCTTTGGCATGCAGTGCCATTTAGTAACATTGCTTTTCTTGAGCCACATAAACCCTATTTGCAAACAAAAACATCTCGCTAAACTAATCTACTAGTCTAATTTCTGGTATAAAGATGCCCATGATTATAATGACTCTTCGTTTACTGCTCTAAAAAGGGGAGAGGGGCAATGACGGCAGTGGCAGACTGGCAACCAGCCCACTCTTTAGAAAACCAGCCGAGCCAGTCTAAAAGCGGACAGGTGGTGACCCTATTTCTCAGTAGTATTCATACCACTGGACATCACATCATTTACATGTCATTGTACCAAACCATGAAGCACTTTTCAAAGGGACCTAATCACTTAAACAGACATCATAACTTGTTCTTTGATGAAGAAATCAATGGGTTGCCAACAGATGCGTCACCAAGTGCTGCTATGTTGCATGCTTCCAATATCGTCTGCGTCAACTCGTACCTATTCCTGCTCCTGACGACCGTTTCAATAAAATGTGGTTTGAGCCTGCATTTCAAGAAATAGAGGGCCAAGAAGCCATCAGTCACCACATTTCTTTGTTAGATTGCTCTCACAGCATGTCTCTCCCCACTTGGCCCCTTATCGAATTCCCCTTGCCACATGCAAGGGGAATTCCGTATGGGCTCACTATGCTTGCACAGACGGCGAGACGAACGCAGCGGTGTTGAGCGCCAACGCGGCCATTTCCACGTCCTTGGGGTGATAGCGTTCCCTCCCATACTGTACGCGTGGCCGTTTATTAGGAGTGTTGTCTGCGTGCGTTCATCTGCAACTGGAGGCTGGTTTTCAGCTAAAGTAATTGCTTGGGTGTGTTGGTATGACATATTGGAGGGAAACAGTGCGAAAAACGAGAAACCATACAAAGAAGGACACATACAGAGTTCTGGTTTTCAGGCTGGATAATTTTTTCAGGGAAGCATACATTGATAATGGCAACCTTCTGTACAAGGCAGGCCATGTGCACAATGTTGAAGAACTTGTCTCTGTCGAGGGAAGTGTGATGAGTGTGGTGACAGGTCGACATGTCTTAAACATGCGTCAACGCTCCATCAAAGGCAAGTGCAAGCACCAGTGACATGGTTGTGTACCTGCAACAATACGAAAGTGAATCGAAAAGAATTCATGCGAAAGTAATGTGGACTCCATTTAAAAGTTAGTTAGAACCACAATAAAACAAAAATACTGAAACTGACTTTAACACAATATTTTTTTATTTATAGCTCGTAAAAATAACACATGAGCTTGACAAGCGCGAAGCAGAGTCCTAAAGATATAAACTGTGAATCGAATACTTCTAGAATGAAAGGAATGGTGATTGCTGCAAAGTCGAAAGAGCGTGCAAAACACGCATATACATTATCGCACCTTCCATAGCGTTCACATGAGCGAGCTATTCCAGCCTTCTTGTAAGGGGACGGAAAATTCAGTGGGCGGTAAGCTGAATGCTCCTGTTCAGTCACCTCGGCAGTCTTCACGAAATGCAAATTGTGCTTTTTTTTAGGGCTCCCAGTTTGTTTTCTCAATGCTGCGCTAGAAATTACGAGAATTAAAAAATCTCTTCACGACAGCGATTGGGCATGAGAGAAACAACTTAAGTCTCCATAGATGGTGAACAAGTCGTACCAACATTGGCGTCTCCTCCCACTTCTGGCTGACCTCCCTGCCTTTCTCTAAACTTATTCTCTCTCTCTCTCTCGCTGAGCCCTTGGGACGAGGTAAAGATTGGTTCCAGAAGATTCGTTGTAAATACTGTGAAAGCTCAACAAACCTTGTTGCTGCTAGGCTGCGCCATGGTACAGTTGCCATAGAAGAAACGTTTCTCAAAACTATGGAAAAACACGAAGGAGCCGGCAGGAACACTGCCACTAGCCGCTGAGTTTGAAAGGTTCTATCACCCCACAGACTCGTGCACCGCCACTTGAGGTGTTTTCATCTGCGGAAAAATAGAAGGGCAGTGTGCCCGTACCACACATGTGGCAAATTCGATGAACTTACTTTTTTGTGCTTTTTTTTTCACATGTGGTGGGGCTCCTTCTGGTCTCGCCTTCCTACAAAGGTTCATTAGCTTCTTAAGTGCAGAAAGAACATTAATGTTGCATTTTCAAGCAGTCTTATGATTCTATGACGCCATGAGTATAGACATGACAGCTTAGTTCATACCGGCACTGCAACATGCACCATCAGCATCCCTGGTCTGCTGTTTCTGAAAGAACCCTACACCACCTAGAGATTGAATTTAGTGGTGGTGGGGAAGTGGTGCGTGGTTGCACAATGAACACAGAGCCGTGATAATTTTTCGAAATGGGGCTGTAATAGCAGAGTTAAATGCGTTTGATTATCAAATCGTGGCAATCGCTGTTCTCGCTCTTTCGTTTGCTACCCTCTGCTGGTACACTCCCCTAAAGCCGCTTTGCCCTCTCATTGAGGGTATTTATCCTTTCATCACGCGCCTCACTTTTCACCCTTTCACTTAAAAAATCTCTCCCCCTCCCACCTATTACGTGAGCTTTTTTTTTTTCTTCTTCAGTTACCGCTCCCCCCACCTTTTTATTACCTCATTTTTTTCTGTCTCCTCCCTTGTCTATTTCTTTTTCCTTAATTCCCTTTCTTAAGTCTCACTGTCGTTCCAGCTCCTGTTCCCCCACACGTCTATTGGTTGAGGTGTCCTCACATAAGAGGCAGTTATTGTGCTCTCCACACCCCGTTTTCTTACCTTTCTGTCTTGCCTGAAAGAATCATTCCTCGCCATCCATCCGCTGTCACATCGCATGCAGGTGCACAGGTGATCTGTGCAGGGTTAGGAGGGTGTGCGTTGCAGGGAGGTAGTGCACATGGGCAGCATGGCAAACAAGGAGCACACACAGCTGCTTGCAGGCTAACTGGTTGCTCGTTATGCTGCATATAAGTGCTGCTCATCATATTCAACTTCTCGACGTCACGCCGAGGCCGGTCAGGCCCAGGGAGGAGGAGGGATTGTTTTTTCAAATTTGTAGCGTGCCGGTGACTTTTAGCGCTGTTACGTATGACATCATTGATCGTGACAGCATTCTGCACGCGATGCGGGTGCTCACTTGAGATGTTTGAAAAAATATCCTGGGTGGTTTAGGGGCCCTTTAAAGGGGCCCTACAACATTATTCAACACTCCCCCCACCCCCCCTTTTTTTTACTCATGGGTTGCCTAGACTCAAGTATGGACAGATCGGTATAAAACAACAGCAATAGGCGCACACAGTTCAAAGTTTTTCTATCTATAAAATTCAAGACCAGAAATGCTTACCCTCAACTTTATGGGGTCTTGCGATTTTGTTTGACTCGTCAGTAACTGTGCAATGCACCGCCTGTGGAAACAGTTGAAAGGTGTTACGTAGGAGAAGCTTGCATACCATTGTTGCTTGTACTGTTTAAGATAGTAGTGACACTGTGGCCATATTAATTAAAATGGTGCCTTACTTATCAGAGTTTAATCAGGAATTACTGTTTCCAAATGAGGCTCTGTCAAACATTCCTTACCGCGGCACTCCATGTCATTCTCTCCTTTGTTTCTGAGAAAGAGATGAGCGTAGCGATAAGAGTGGTGAAGCAGTTTTTTCTACTGTTTGAGCATCCCTGGACTGTGCAAAGTTGTTTAGGCAAGCCGCCTGAAGAAATGGAAGGGTGCAGCAACATATATTCAACTAAGGAGATTGCTTATGCCGCTTCAACAACAATAAAAAGCATACCACATGTGCAGAAAGAGGCAGCTCGCAGGCACTCGGAACCGAGAAAAAAGGAAGAGAGAGAAGCCTTTTGTAAGAACATTGGCCTCGCGCAAACAAGAAATCCAGAGGCGAAATGGCAATCAGCGCCTCAGCCATGCTTTGCAGTTGTAGTGATGGTGTCTGTTCAAGGTTCAATGAAAAAGTGCACAAAAAATTGAAACCCAGCAGTAATCTTGGATTCGATTCCATGCCACAGCTGCATCTAATTTTACATTTAGGCAATAATTGGCTTGCACTCCTCGCGGTCATTTCTGGCTGCAATAGTTCTGGCAGGCACAGCCATGAGCTGATGCCATCAGCAGGGATGCAGTGACATTATGGCATGATTAATGTACTAAATAATGTGGTATTGGTCCTTATATTTGTGCTAAAATTGACCCCAGTCAATGCAAACCAGAAATAAAATGCAGGTGCTCAAAAATGTTGGAGGGCCCCTGTAAGCAATCCTTCCACACCGGACACGAAAACGTGACTTGGATATCCAGCCTTGCTGATTTGTGAAACTTGTCTGAACCTACTATGATGGTGTGTTCGCATCATTTTCTCGATGTACTGCTGAAGCCCCTATTCGCAATACCCCTCTTCACTAGTTTCGTGTGCTTGGAATGAAATGATAAAGGCGGCTTATTTGCCCTGGGTTTGCAGCTCCAGCAAGTTCTCTTATCAGTGAATATAAGATTAATGTTGAGAAATCTGGTAAGTCAAAAGTACCATGGTTACATGGTACGTCAAAAGTGATCTTTAGTGGTTTTAGACAGTCGTGAATATTAGTAAACACTAATGTGCAATGCTTGTCAAAACTTCCAAAAGTA